AAACGTTGCTACAACTTTAAAAGCACAACTATAATGACGTGGGAAAAATACCTGAACAAAGCTGAATACTATACATATAAATACCCGCGAAAACTTAAATATATATATATATATATTTATATATTCAAATACTTTTTGCAGTCATTTTCTGCTTTTAATATGTCTTTCTTTAAAAAAACAAAACAGAAATCATCACTAGATACCAAGGAATCTTCAGTCATTGCCATTTATGATTATACTGCTCAGAATCCTCAGGAACTGACATTACGATGCAATGAGGAATATTATGTTATTGATAGCTCCGAAGTCCATTGGTGGTTGGTTCAGGATAAGAATGGGTAAGTCTAAAAAAATGTATGTTCTAATTTCCTCCTACATTACATTTTCCCTATGTGCTGTATGTTTCTTATTCATTTTGCTTTCCTGTCCTGAATTACTGCACTATATCTTAAGACATATATGTTTTATTATGTTTTTTGTTGATGGCCTAGACCAGTGGTGGCTAACCTTTTCAGCACCGGCCGGAAACCAGAAGAGCAGCTCCCCAGCTCACGTGCACAGAAGCACCAGAAACCAGAAGCTTAGCTTTCCAGTGCATGCATGCACACTGTCCACCTGATCTTCCAGTTTCTAACGTGCATGAGCATGCAAGGACTGGCTGGCTGGAATGTGCATGTGCTCCGGGGAGCTGCTCTTCCAGTTTCTGGTGCTCCTGCATGCATGAAGATCAGCTGGCCAATGTGCATACGCACGCCAGAATCCAGAAGAGTAACGGGCAATGGCTGGCATGCCCAGAGAGATGGCTCTGTGTGCCACTTCCGGCATGTATGGCATAGGTTCACCATTACAGACCTAGACATTGGTATTTGGACATAAATCTTTTTAACATTTATATGTTATTGTCTTTTACTAATCTAAATGAAATATTAAAATATATTGCAAGTCCATGTATGTTATCACATATGTTAAATAATAAAATAAAATTTGAAATAAAATAGAAAGTTTAACTTTAACAGTAAGAAATGGTGCCATTTACTTATTAATTCCATCAGCAGAAGGTTTGGTATCATGTATTCTGCTCTAACAGACAATTTTAATCAAGTCATATGCTGAAGTTGTTCATATTTTAATAGAATAATTTATTTGTTTCAGGCATGGAGGATATGTACCAAGCAGCTACATAGTAGAAAAATCACCAGATAATATTCAAATATATAAGTAAGAATTTGTTGCTCCTTTGTATGTAATATCATTATCAAGAGACTAAGTTTTAACTGAAACTTTGAATTATGTAATTTTTAAATCTTAACATTAAGATGTCAGTTCAATGTTTATTAGAAAAATAAACTGATAATGGCATTAAAAAGCATGAATAAAAATGTTAGCTAGACAGAATTCTCAAGCAATGTTGGATTAGATTAACATTCTTTTTTGAGATCGTAGAAAGAAATGAAAATCTCAGTTTTCCTTTCCTTTTACCAGATGTGATCCTAGTTAGGACCAGCTGACCTTTGACATCTTCTTATACTTGCTATTGACAAGGCCTTCCAAAAGCTTGCAAGAAGGCTGTGTCCACCCTTCTCCAAATCATGCAATGCTTTGGAAGAATTTCGAAGGCAGAGGTGGCCTCAGGAAGAAAGCCTGGCACAGCAAGCATCTGCCTTGCATAAGGCCAGGCAGCAGCAAAAAGAAAAAGATGGTGAAGGTCAGCTAGAGATGGCACGATCTATGGAGTGCTGGATGGTCAGAGTACCTGGTGCTTTGCACTGTGGCACAAAGGCGGCTGATTGCGCCATGGGCTTCTCAACAGGAGGGGTGGGATGGCAGTACTGGGTCAGAAGTTAGAGGCCTGGGCACAACAATGGCTGGCTGAGACTGCCAAGCATTTAATTCAGCCTTGCACTAGTGTTCCTGTGCCAGAAGTACAGAGAGTTCAAGAGGAGGCCTTACCTCGCCAAGACTCAGGACTGAGAGGAACAAAGACAGGAATGGCTTAAATCAATGTGGTCCTTGAATTGTGACTGGTTGGATTCAGTTAAAAATGACAATGGGGACTGCTGGCATTCATATCACTAATCATTGTAGTCATGCTTTATAACCACACTGTTTAGGAACTGAAATTCTGGTTCCAATTACCACCATAACCTGAGGACTATATCTACAAAAAAAATCTTATTTATTTGCCATGATACCAAACATTAATGCTGTTTATGGATTAGTTCCACTTGACATGCAACATGTTTTGCTTTGTACTTAATCATTGCAGCTGGTACAACATGAATATCAGCAGAACCAAAGCAGAAGCAATGCTCAGGGAAGAGGTAAGGTAAATCTCTTTAAGTAGTACCCACATTTTACTGTACTTAAATCAATGTCTTGCTTCACTTACTTGGGCATATAGGAAAGTAACATTCAGTGATGTAATGAGGAAATCGAGTAGTAGTTTTGAATTGAATTTGTTTAAAACCTTTAATTTGAATTGGCTGGTTATGGTGATTGTTGTAAATTAAAATTCCCACTCATTGTTCCCCAGTCTGTCTGCTTCCCTTACATGATTGCTGAGCATATAAAATATAGGCAAAATCACTATCTATTGATGGCCTGAGCCTTTGGAAGAAGACTGCTATTGGAAAACATGAAATACCAATACAGAACAAGCAAGAAGGAATTAGCTTTTTTGGGGGTACAACTAAAATAGAAGCCAAATTCCAGCTTTCAGCAGCTTTTGAATATTTTGGGAAACCAACAGTCCAACTTTTCAGTTTAATTTGACATTACTGAATCCCTGTTCATTCTTCATAATTTTGGAGTGTTTGGTTTGTTCCTTGTTAGACATCTCATTTTCTTGCTTCTCTTGTGCTTTTGCTTTGTTTTACTTTGCTTTAGGCAAATTGTGTATGAATGTATGTGTACATTTACAAGCATGAAGTATAAATGCTTTATTATATGATTAGCAATGGATACATTTGGTCAGCCAGTTAAGATGCTGGGCTACCAGCAGGAAAAACCAAATTCTAGTCCTACCTTAGGCACAAAGACAGTTGGGTAACTTTGAGCAAGTCACTCTCTGTACAAACTACTACTGAAGAACATGTTGCCAAAAAGATTTCATGGACTTGTTCAAAAGTTCCCACAACTGGAATGAATGAATGCATGAATGAATGAATGCTTATGTAGCATTTTAGACATTAAAATTGGTCCTTTTATAGATTCCTTTGTAAATTCATTGTATTTCATCTTTCTCCAGAATAAAGAAGGAGCTTTCATGGTGAGAGACTCAAGGCAGCCTGGCACCTATACAGTCTCTGTTTTCACAAAAGCATTAAAGTAAGCTAGATCTTAGGAAAGATGGCACTTTTAAAAAAAAAATCATTTAAATAAAAATGAATATTCGATACAGCTTTGTCAGGCATTGGAAATAAATAAAAATAATTTATTGTAATATACGGCTTTTTCATGACATTTTTTGGAGATCCTTCTTTTCACAATAGTAATCCATCTTCATCTTGTTTTTGCACAATTATTGTGATAAATGCCTTTTAGCATAATTTGATATTTCAAAATAAGGTAAAAAGAGATGTTATATCTAATATCCTGGCTTTGTTATTAATACACTTTCTTTAGCACATAATTTTTAGCACATAATTGATGTGCTAAAGGTCTACAATTGGAATATATTATTACTATCACTAATTTTAGGCTATAGGTATTCATGCTTCCCTCTGAATTATTCATTTGCTCTGCTTGTCTGCTGCTTATTCCCCAAGGATGTGGGCAGCTAACAGTGTCAAAATATATAAAAAATGACCCCCTAAACCCAAATGCATTTAAAGGAGTATGAAAAAAATAAAAACCAAAACATACAAATATCCTGGACCAGCGGTCTACTTGTAATTGCAACACATGGAGCAGATAGCTTTTTTCATAATATTCCTAAAGCCCAAATGGATAAAGATAACCAGACCTGGCAATGGCAATTCAAAATGGACTCCTTACAAGACCTCATCGGGTGACAATCCTTTAGTGATGGCACCTGGAAAGAGTTGATGCTACTTAATCTGATTAACTGAGGGATGAATATAGGTTATCCCTCACATAAACACTTTTTATGATCCTATAATCCCATAATTTGGGGTAGAGTGGGGGGTGACTGGATGGATTTGAGCATTTACTGGCCAAATGCCCTTCCTGGTGCCTATATGGAATATGCAGCAGATATTTTTTTCTTGTGCCCCAGGAGAGAAACATCTGCCACTACCTAGAATTGAACTCAACCTTCCAAGTGGGCTGGCAGTGTCTTCACCCCTAGGCCACTATGCCACTGAATAAACAATTTACATATTTCTCTAAAAACTAGTTTTCAGAATTATTGGTTCTTTAAATAATAATCCCAGCAAACACAATTATATGTTGCTATCTCTTTCAACTATTTATAGAAATAGTCTTCATTTTTTTGATAAAACAATAGAATATAATACCACTGATGTATTCATTTTAGTGAATGTTCTTTAATCTTTCCAAAGTTGAATCTTGATAGTTTCAGCCTAGATAAAAAATTAGTTATTATTTTCTATATATTTTTTCATTTTCCTAAAGATGTAAAGTGTGGCTTTTCAGAGACATTTAATAATGCCAATAGATTTTCTACACAGATCCTTTGGTATTTTCTCTAATTGCAAGATTATTCTTTTAAAATCAGAGGAAAGATAAAAGGCTATTTGTTTTATATCTTCATTTTGAAGGAATGGTAGAACTTATATATATCCTAGTCAATTTAGTCTCCAGACTTTCCAGAGTGTGGCATTCTGGTACTTGTTTGAAGAAACATAACATGAGAAGAAGAAACATAACATGAGAAGAAGAAAATATATAATTCCACTGTAACAAGTTCCACAGTAAAAAAAAATTACTGTGGAACTATATAGCTAGCAGAACTCTAATAAAGTGGTTCATAGTATTTATTCTATGGTTCAAACCCGAATTGGATTGATGCTTCACGAATCATTGGTCATTTTTGCCTTACTTGCACATTTTTAGCAGTCTTTACCTTATTTTAAAGTGGCATATTTTCTGTCTTTTTTAGCAATGACAATAGCCCTGTTATAAAACACTATCATATCAAGGAGACTAGTGACAAGCCCAGGAGGTATTACTTGGCAGAGAAACATGTTTTTGATTGTATCCCAGAATTGATCAACTATCATCAGTATAATGCAGGAGGTAAGTTCAGGCAAGAAAAGTAAGAAGATGCAGATAACTTAATTCTAAGATTCTAAAAATGGAGGGAAAAATTATCTTGACATCTGATGTTTTAAATAATTCCTTATTATCAAAGCTCTTATGATAAATCAATATAAATTTACTTAGTATCATAAAATGCTGAAAATTTCCTAAATAATGGATCTCTTGCAGGAAGCCTATATTTGCCTTCTCTTTATATGTGCCCCATTAAGTATAACTTTGAATTATATTCAAGAGAAATTATATACATAAATGACAGTTCTTTGATTTTCTGAATATCCTGGGAGAAATTTAATATAAAATGCTTAGCATATTCAGATAGTGCCTATGTTGCATATTCAAAACTTCACAGACATTCCTAGAAATTTTCACATAATAGGAAAATTGTTTTGGTATACTTTATTGAAGTGTCACATTGGTAACTTTGTTATTTCTATATTTGATTCTCAAGTACATTCTCATAGTACATCTCCATAATTCTATTTTTATGGCCCATCATTTTTTCTTAAGCTGCCAAAAGCTGGCACTTATGAAGGCTCCTTTGTGTTCTCTGGGCTTGGTTGTTTTCTTGCAGACATTTCATTCAACCAGGTAACAACATCAATGCTAATATATCACTCTACATTACTAGCATGGATGATGTAATCTAGTTTGAGTAATGAAATGTCTGCAAGAAAACAACCAAGCTCAGAGAGTACCAAGGACCCCTCATTTTAATCTCGAGTTACAAAAATTCCCTTATATACTCTTACTTTTGAGTCTCTTTCAAATATATTTGTACATTTGTTCAAAACACAGGTCTTGTTACTCGGCTGAGGTATGCTGTCTCCACCTGGAGAGAAAAAGCTCCTGTTACAGCTGGATTAAGTTATGGTAAGTAAACTAGATGTCTTGCTAAAGGAACTTGTTATTTTTTTGGTTTTGAGACGAAATGGAAGTGAAAGTCACAGTTCTTTTCTTTAAAATGTAAATAAGGGTAAATAAGGCAATCACAATGTTTCTTTGTTTCTGTGAATGGGAGTAAGGGTGTGGAGCAGGGGTGTCAAATTCGATTTCATTCAGGGCCACATCAGGGTTGTATTTGACTTTTGGATGATGGGGTGGGTGTGGCCAGGGTAGTGTGGCCAACTTGACATCACTCATGTCAGGGGCATCTGTGGTGGACAGAGTACCCTGCCAGTGAAAATGGGTTCCCAAGCTCTGTTTTCGGCTGCAACGGCCTCCTGCAACGCTCCTGAGCTCCGTTTTCAAAGGCAGAAGCACTGCTGGCTGGTCCTTTGCTGTTTCCAGGTGGCTCTGTGGGCCAGATCTCAGCACCCCATGGGTCAGATCCGACCTCCAGGCCTTGAATTTGACACCCCTGATGTGGAGTATTAGAGAAGTAATGATTAAATGAAGAATTCCTAACCAAGCTCTTTCCACATCCACAAATACTGGCACTATTGATTATATAACAATTATTATTTATTGGACAAAAGCAATTATTAGATTGTTTTTCTTTTGCTTTTTCCTAGGCAAATGGATTATTAATCCACAAGAACTAACATTTGAACAGGAGATTGGTGTTGGTGAGTTTGGTGTGGTTCATCTTGGCTACTGGCTTGATCGGATGAAAGTGGCCATAAAGACAATTCGCACAGGAACAATGTCAGAAGAAGACTTTATTGAAGAGGCCCAAGTCATGATGTAAGCAGTATAAATACCTACTAAACTCCCATTTTATTTATGTAATGAATAATGCAATATGACTTTTAATCCCTTGATGTGGTTCACATTATAATTTATTTTAAATTTTGATAAGCTGGATCACAATTTTTTAAATTATTATTTTTATAATTATACTTAGAATCTTCTTCCAATTTGTTTCGTCAATGCAATTCTTCAATGTGACTTAAGAAAAATCTTTCTTACACTGTTTTGCTATGTCTCACAAACATGACTGTCTCCTAAACATGATTGGCACAATCAGGCATTAAACAATTGGGTTCTTGATTGAAGAAGCTGTATTGGTATATTGTTACAAGTTCTACAAAATACAATCTCTAATACTGTTTTTAATTAAGTTTTAAGAAAATTATTTTTCTTTAAGGTGACCTTTATTCCTGGTGATTGTATGGACACATATTTAACAAGATTCTTATTTTTCTGAAAATAAAAAGTATCAGTGAAATTTTGTAAATGTGTGAAAAGAGTTAACTTCACAATTGATCTCCATTTCAAGAATTATCCATAGCGAATGAGGGAAATGTAGCATGGTATTTAAAATAATTATACTTTTCCTTTTTTCTTTATTTCTTAGTATATCCATCATATATCTGGGTTTCTTCTTTTATGGTCTTCTTCCTTATTTTCTGTTGAAAAATCTTGATTTATCTTTTTGCATCATCAGGAAACTATCTCATCCCAAATTGGTCCAGTTACATGGGGTATGCCTGCAAAATTCTCCTATATGTCTAGTATTTGAGTTCATGGAGTTTGGATGTTTATCTGATTATTTGAAGAAGCAACGTGGAAGCTTATCAAAGGAAGAACTTCTTGGAATGTGTCAAGATGTGTGTGAGGGAATGGCTTATCTCGAGGAGGCATCTGTCATTCATAGAGATCTGGTATGTTTGGATCACATCTTGTTTTCCTGCAAATAAATCTTTAACATAAAAAATCAGCATAAAAATGAAATTACTGACATATATTATCTTTAAATTGTAATGTAAGAAGACTTTCAGTGTTTGTACAACAATGGAGATTGTACAACAGTGGGGATTTTGCAATATTTCTGATTATTCCTTCTCTGTGAGAGTATTAAATTTTTTACTGATTTTTTTGTAGTGCCCAGTAGTTTTCTAGGTAAAGTCTTCATGGGTTTGCTAATTTCTTATTGTTATTGGTATGATAATATATGATATCACACCAGGGTTCTATCTGCAGGGCCTAGATAGTATTTGAGTATAAAGGACTGGATAAGGAAAAAAAAACAGGTTCAAAGTCCACCTTCATAAAATTGACTGCTAGTGGATTATGTGACTTCCTAGATCGAGAGATTTTCCATCTTTGGTTCAGGATGAGATAGCATAGTCTCAAACAAAGCCAGAGCTCCATTTACAGAATCTTCTAGACTTATGGCTGATGCTCAAAAAGCAGATGGCATCCAGGAATTAGGGGGGGGCTTTGCACAGCTTCATCTTACATATCAATTATGCCACTCCTGGATCAGCATGCCCTATGCATGGTCATTCATATCCTGGTCACTGGTGAAGTTCATTTTTTTTTTCTGTTCTCCAGAAGTTCATAAAGGGTTTTCTGTCAGCAATAAACCTTGGTATTGTAAAATGTGGCTCATATTATCTGTACAAATACTGTATACCCTGTCTTTTCTTTCCCGCAGGCTGCTCGAAACTGTTTGGTGGGCGAATTTCAAGTTGTCAAAGTTTCAGATTTTGGAATGTCACGGTAATATAGGTGTATTATACATTATTAGCCTTATAGTTGATAAGTGGAAATCCACTACAGTTTTTTAATTATATCCAACCTAACCCAATTCAACTTTATTGTATTGGCAAAAGCTTCTAAAGCTCACTTCTGATCTGTTTCCACTGAAATTTCTATAACCTACTCCTCCTTTGACAGCCAGCTTAAGAGAACTAAAGGGTCTCAATTTTTGTATTAGTTTATCATTTGAATTTTCCCACTGTTCACCTCTGCAAATATATAACTAGTATGTAACTGGAAATATGAAGACAGTAAGAGTCATAGTACAGCCTTTCCCAACCAGGGGCTTTTCAAATAGGTTAGGACTGTAATTCCCAACATTCCAAGCCAAACCCATCTATAGGCACTATTACATTGAAGGAGGCAGCTACAGCTCCTACTTGGGTGTGTTATATTGTATAGCAACTTGCTCAGTGGGATATGAAATGTCTAGGGATATTCTCAATCATCCAGGTCATGGTTGTCCCAAAGGTGCTTTTTCAAAAGGTAACTGGACTTTCTGGTTTTTCTTTGAAGATGCTTCGTTTCTCATCCAAGAAGCTTCTTCAGCTCTTCTTGAATGAGAAGCAAAACGTCTTCAAAGAAAAACCAGAAAGTCCAGTTGCCTCTTGAAAAAGCACCTTTGGGACAGTGCAACATTAGTTCCCTCAATTCTATCCTGCAATTTCTCTTCCCTTTAATTATGCTGATAGAAGTTCTGCATTGGATGTTATTGGAGTTCACTAATAAATGTCCCAATCACAGAAACACCCAACATCCTATCATGCATAGCTTTCTAGGATAATTTCCTACTTTGCAGACACCTTTCTTTCTTTCTTTTTTTATTAAAGTTTTATTTGGGTTTTCACACAAAAAAAAACATAATACAAGTAAAATATCTTTTTTGAAAATAGCATGGTCTCGGGTTACACTTCTTTATACAGACACAAACTCAATTTCAGGCTCATTTTTGTGTTCTATTCCATATCTTATTACTATTTTGCATTTACTATATAGTTTTTCCCCTCTTTTAATTTTCTCAATTTTATTTTGATTATCTCATCTCAGTTAAAATCATTATATTTATACTTTTGTCTGTCCTGTTTCAATTTCATATTATCTTTTCTCATTAAACAAATTTTCTCCTGTAGTTACAAATTGGAGTATGACACCTTTATGTCTTTTCATTTTATCCATTCAACTCTTATTTAAACTTCAATATATATCTTAAGGTTGTAACATTCAATATAATACATACTACATAACTTCCAATATTCTGCTTGGTACATTCTTATAAATCACACTATATTCTTTAAAAAAAAGGATTATAAATATATGTAATTAAAACCCTCATTCCATTCCAATTCATTAAATATTCATTAAAGTCTTAACATCTTTAACATTTCTTTTCAATTAAATATTATACTTCCTTGAAGACACGTATAATCTCCATAATTAATTTTTCCCTTGTTTCTCTTCACATATGTTTTATAAATCATTAAGTATTCATTTTATTACATTTATTTATTGACAAACATTCCACTAAATTACGATAACTATTTTATCAAACATTTTAACCATACATTGTTTCATATTTTCTGAAATTATTTCTATTTCTAATATAACAATACTATCTTATGTACCTTTGCAGAATCCCTTTTTCAATTAGATTTCCACCCATTATCTCTAAATAGGCCGTTTCTCTTTATCTTGTTTCTGTCCATTATAACTTCTTTTCCTTTCTTTCTTCCCTCTTTTCTTCTCCCTCCCCTTTTTACCCCCTTGTCTCTCTACTTCTAATTCTCTCTTCTGCATTTCCCTCTTCTGTTGCTTTCTGGTTTTATACTTATTTTCCAATCTATTCTTTTTGGGGATTGTTTTTCCCAGTCTTAAACTTTCCGTTCTCTTTCCCCCCTTTCCTTTTTTTCCCCTGCTTAAGATTACTTGTTCATTAAAGATGGCTTCTTCTTTGTCCCAATCTTCTTGTTCTGCAGGCATTTCTTGTTGTTTCTCATAGTTCCAAATCTCCATTTCTAAGAACTGAAATATGAAGCCAAAAGTACCTCTCCCTTCTTGTGCATCTTCTTTGTACTTTTTAAGTTCCATTTTCAGTTCTTCGAAGAGTGGAGCCATTTTAGACACTTTTAAACAACCACCCAATTGATTTTAGTCATTCAAATGCAGTAACCAAGAATCCAGAGATCACCAAGTAATCCAAATACTCCTGAGCTGTTCCTTCTTATTTCTTTTTTCAGTTTCTCTTCCTGGGGTTTTACTATTTTGTTACCATGTTTCAGTTAAGATGTATCTTTTAGAAATCTTGTTGAGATTTTACTGTAAATTCTTTTTAATTCCAGGCAGTCTCCTCCCTTCCAGATCCTGCCCTTTTATTCTTTTTCTCTCCTGTTTTCAAAAGCTTTTCAATATCCAGAAATCTTTATTATTCCTTTGACTTTTTATTTTCAGCATTAAATGCCTATTAATGTCAAAGTGGATTTTTTTTCCAATTTCTTGCTTAAGTCTCTTAGCTGTCAGTATAGGAAAAGGAAAAGGTGGAAAAAAAACCCAAATCCTTTCCCTTTTCTCTCTCCTTCGCTGCTTAAAAATCTTCTTTGGGAACAGTGTTATTTTTTTTATAGTTTAAATTCCAGGGTACCTTATTTGTTGTTTTTGCTGTTTGACCCAGTCAACCAAAACGTTCTCTTATCTCCCTCCTGCACATTCTTTTCCAGTTGAGTTCTTCTTTGTGGTGGCCATTTCTGACCACCGCTACAACCGCCTTCGGGAAAGGGAGTAATGGCCAGCTGAGGAGGAGAGATGCAGCTCTCCTCAACTCTGCAGGCAGTCTCCCCCTTCTTTACCACCTCTACGGGGTGGCTTAGCCCCAAAACCAGCTGGCTCGGGGTGCTCCAGCGGTGAGCACGGATCGAAAATGCACAGAGTCGCGGTTTCGGTCTGTCGCCAAAGAAGCTCAAATCGGAAGTCTGCAGACACCTTTCTATCACTTGCCAGCCAGACATATTCCAATTATATTTTATTGGTCAACTGAAGTCAGTTTCTTTCCACAGTCATTACTGCTTTTTTAAAGAGGAGGATGTGAAAGAATAGCAGTACTCATAAAATCAATGATGGCATTGGTGCAGCTTAACAACAAGCCGTCTGTTTTATTTCAATAGCTTCCATAGTACTGACAGTTAAAGAGAAGCATGTCTATAGAATGATTAGTTTGATAACATGGAAAGAAAGTCAAACTGTGTAACTTCCAACCTGGGTATATACAGTATATTCCTGTTCTATTACTGCCGGTGGATCAGATATATTAAAAAATAGAGCCTCCTGTATCATTATAACTCATGATTTCAGATTAATGATTCAGTAACATTCTGAGATTTTAATCTTTTTTCATGCATGAGCTATACCATTATAATTACTGATTAATTACTTTAAACAAATTTATCTCTTTTAGGTATGTTCTTGATGATCAATATACCAGCTCCATGGGTACTAAATTCCCCATCAGATGGTCAGCACCAGAGGTATTTTCCTATAACCGCTATAGCACCAAGTCAGATGTATGGTCATTTGGTAAGAGTCTTTAACAACAAATATCCTAGTCACATAATTGCTTCAAGCTCTTATGATTAAAAAACTGTTCATTGTTTATCTTAACAGGACAAGAAATTCAACCATGTTTTTGTCTTAGATAATCTCTAAAAATATTTCAACGTCATTTTTTAAAGTCTAAAGTATTTAAAGCCATATTTATTTTTAGAATTTTGTAAAGACGTAGAGTAACAAAAATTTTACAAAACACAAGAGCCTTCCATAGTTTATTGTCACTCCACATCACACGATTTGTATAAAAGGAGCTTTTCTGCTTCTCCCTTCTCAGTCTATTTCATATTTTTACTGGGTTGTTAAATCAGCCAAACAGTAATATAATCCAGATATGAAAATGAATACATATCTATGAATGAACAGCTCAAAAGCAATTAAAATTTTAATTTATTCAGCTAAAAGGGAATCTAGGATAGAATATATAAATACATTTGCAATACATGAATGACAAAAACATTCATTTGGTTAGAATGTAGTGCAGCTTAGCGTGGGTGGTGGGTTTGGGGGGGGGGTGTCTCTTATCATAGTCAGTGATCAGGTATGCAGGGACTGTTTGTTCAAGAAATAGCTAAAGAAATTTTTGTTTAAAAAAGTGTCCATGCTGTGTGAATAAAAATAAAGTCAACTGTGATAGGTTTGCAAGGTTCCCAAATAATCTGGTTTGTTATTTATAGTCAATCAGAAAAACTGCATTTTACATTTCAAGGACAGGTCAGTTTCCTTTTGCTTCTCATCCTTTCACCTTTCCTCTTTTAGACAAGCTCTTTTGAAGCCAGTCATTTAGCAAGTTGATTCACATCAACAAATTTTGATTCAAGTTAAGAAAAGGTCATAGGAGATTGTTCAAATGAATCAGTGCTGTTCTTTATTTTATTTTTCTAAATTTATGCTAATAGTGATTTATTTTTTCCAGGATGATCTATCTGTCCCTAACTTAATCCTTCAGAGCTTCCATTGGTGCATCCATTGCCATTGTGACTGAGCCCATCCACCTTGGTTATGCTTTTCTCTCTTTCTCTTCCAATTCATCCAGGATTACAGACTTCTCCCAAGAGCTAGAACTTTACACAATATGATCAAAAATGTGACAATTTGAGCATGTTCATTTGTGCCCTGAGTGAGGACTGTGGAATTGATCTGTTCAATGATTCATTTGTTTGTTTTCTTGACTATCTGTGGTGCTCTCAAAAGTATTTTCCAACACCAAAAAGAAACCTGTCAGGAATCTTTCTGTCTTGCATTTTCAAAGTTCAATTTTCACATTCATATAATGTCACAGAGAAAAATATTTCCTGCACAATTATGATGTTTGTAGAATAGAATACCTAAAAGTATTTTATGAATACCTGAATGTATAGAATAGCATCTGAATATCATTTCCAGGCCTTAATTTCTATTCTACTAAGTGCTATTCTGAGACATAAGCTATCCCACTATTTCAAGAACTTTCTTATTAATTGCACCTGTTGTCATTAGTTGGGCCATCTGTATATTTAACCATAATCTGTTTCTACTTTCCTTTAATTCATTATTGGAACTTTCAGGTCATTTGCATTTTCAATTATCAAAATGGTATCATCAGCATCATGCAGGTATGCCCCCACTTTTAACCCCATATTCAGCTTCCTCCAATCTAGTTTCCCCTCCATACATATTCAGCATATAGGCTGAATAAATAAGGGGCAAGTACTCATCTTTGTCTCTCTCTTTTGCCAATCTGAAGCTATTGTGGCTTCCTGATCTTTGTATAGTTTTTGCATGAAGGAAATGGAATCTTTTAGGGTTTTTAAGCACATACAACAGTTTGACATGATCAACACAATGAAAGGCCTTTCAATAATTCCATAAATTAAATATAAACTCATACTGACTTCTTGTTGATATTCTTTGGCTTTCTCAATTATCCAGTAATGTCTTACATTTCTCAGCCTTTTCCAAAGCCAACTTGAGCATGTGGCATTTCCTCTTCCATGTCTGCATTGTTTTATTAGGATGTGAAGGAGTATTTATAATATTTTGCACATTTCTTTGGTATTGACATAAAAACTGACCTCTTCCAATCAGTTGACCTCTATATTGTTCTCCAAATTTGCTGGCGTAGTTTGGTTAGAATCTTTACCCCATCTTTTTCGGTTGTTTGCCACAATTCTATAAATATTCCATCAGTTACCATAGCCTTCCAGACTGATAATGAGGAGAGTGCTGATTTAATGTCGTCTTCTATTAGAAGATTTTGGAAGTATGGAATATCTTCTTCAGTATCTTGGATTTTGACATCACTATTGTACAGAATTTCAGCATACTCCTTCTATTTTTGTTTGTCCTTTTTGGGATCAGTTGCTGTCTGTCTATTGGTGTCTTTTATCACACCATTTCAAGTTGAAAAATCTTGAATTCAGATTTTTTGGGAAGGCTTTCCTTGTTTTTCATGTCTGTTTCCACAGTGTCATTATAGATATTGTTGCAATGTTGCTTTTTATCTCTTCTAACAGTTTTCTGAAACTCTTTGTTAGGTTTCTTCCTGAGATCTTTTTCTTGGTTTTGGCTTCTCATCTCTTTTTGGCAATTTCCATTGTTTATTCTGACAAGTGGTTTGATTCCTTTCTTTTCTTTTCCTTTCTTCTTTCATTCTTTCTTTCTTTTTGTTTCTTGGTCTTTGACACTCTCTTTTCACATTTATCTTTACAATGTCTTCAAATTCATTCCACAATTCCTAAGGTTCCTTATTGGTGAGGTTCAGGACTTCAAAGTGATTCCTAATGTTTTTGAAATGATGGGTATATGGTCAAGATCATATCATAGAAACTAGTTGGCTTTCTGCTTCCATTTTAGCTTAACTTGGAACTTGAACATTACCTGCAAAAATTGTAAATGCAAGGACTGTACAAAGTTAATTTTTCATCACTGTGGTATTTTGAAAGAGTTGCTAAAGAAATCAGTTGCTAAATGAGGACTAGCTCTAGTATAGTCTTCTGACTAAAAGTGTTGATTTGCTGATGCTTAAAATGTCAATGTGTAAGTGATTCATTTCATTCTTCGCTCTGTGGAGCTTTCCCATGTTTATGCTTCTTACATTTTATGCTCCGATTGTAATTCTATCTTTGTAGTTTCAGATTTTTTTTTCTTCCATGGAAGCATCACCAACTAAATGTCCTGAGGCTTTAATCTAATAATTTGTACCCTGAAAGATCTGCAGCTCTTTCTCAATAGTGTTTTGAGTGCCATGTGACCTGAGGAGGGGGCATCATTCGGCACTATATTGTCTTTCACATTTAATGTCTACCCTTGTGGTCTTTTTGTAAAACACACAAGTAGTTTGATAATTGCCTTTTCCTGCAAATATGAAATGATGCCTTTGCTGTTGTCACTAAAGTGATTGTCTCCTTCTAGCATCTTCCTCTATCACCACTACCCAATATAGAGGCCTGCTTGTTTTTGAAGGGTAGCTGGGATGATCGCCATGTCTTAGATAACCCTATTAGGATTATATTCTGTTGACACATTTCTGGCATTCTTCACTCATCTCACCCAGTAATACCTTTCTGCCTCTGCTGCCACCACAACACAGATAACAGCAGGATTAGGGAGGAGGGGGAGTGTAGTAATAGTAAGTCACAGTGAACAAACAACATATGACTATATAGTTGAAAGCAAACTCACAATCTGTTGACAATCTGGAGCCTGCTAATATTATTTCATTAGGATGACTAACCAATGGGCAACCTTACATTTTAATTTGGGAGAAAGTTCCTATAAACTTTCTCTAGTCATATATAGGATTGATTACATTGTGAATCTCACTGAAAAAAATATCCATTTTAAGCACTGGATCAGAACATTAAGATATTTGAGAAAGACAGAATGGCGGACACTGTTCTTCATAAATTATGTATCCTGCCTTATTTCAGGAGTATTGATGTGGGAGGTATTCACTGAAGGCAAAACTCCTTATGAGAATCGGACAAATGCTGAGGTGGTAGAAGAAGTCAGTGGTGGCTTCCGTTTGTATAAACCCAGAATTGCTTCCAATACCATTTATAAACTTATGCAACACTGTTGGAATGAGGTTAGTGCATCTTATTTCATGCAAGAAGGATGTAAGAATGAAGTAATATATTTTACATTGAGTCACACCCAACTCTTGGTAACTTCATGGACCTGACTGTAAAGGTTTTTTTGATAACAGTAAAGAAGTTTTTGATTTTCTATCTAGCCTATAGCCTTGGTATTTCTCTAATTGTTTCTCATGAACTCAGGGAATTTAACTCAGATTCATGTTTGAAATTGGGTATGAGCTGCTACCTAGAAAACCAGTTTTCAAAAGTTTTATACAGCACCATTGGAAAATGTAGGAAAAAAATAAATTAACTTGAAGCTTAAAATGTATTTTAAATTTCTAAGAAAAACAACTTATATATTGAGTTTTTAATTAGTCAAATATAGAAGTTTTAAAAATCTATAACATTTTGTTTGCAAATTTTTACTGGATCTTAAAGGAAAGCAGATATAATGCTAAAATGGAACAAAATTATAATAACAGTGTAGGATATCCACCAAGATTCCAGAAGTTGCTCTATCCTTGAAGATTTTCAATGATACCCAACTATAAGGCTTTAACATGTTGCTTACTCATAAAAATAAATAAAAACAATTGTCAAATCACAGTTCCAGGTGGATCTTTGCATAGTCAGTATATCTCTATTTAAGAACATTAGCTGATATTACCAAGAGTTTTTAAGGATATAACTAAGTTATCTAGAAGTTTTATTATTGAAAAGCATGT